GACACTATCGAAGCAGACAAGTTTGCATTGACCATAAAAGACGACTTTTAAGCGGTTATTACGCACACAGCTTGCAGAACAAGAAACATCGACTTCGACTATGTTTACATTGTGACTCTGCAGTCTAGCATCTGACATGCATACAGTTGAAGCAGATATGATCGCAGTGACCATATAAGACGACTCAGAAGGGTAAAAAGCGAGTACAATAGACAGATGAAGATACATCGACTTCATCGGTGTACACACTCTATCTCTCTATTCTATCATCTCACATGTATACTATTGAAGCAGACGAGTTCGCAATGCCCATATGAGGGACGACTCCCAAGCGGGTATGACGCACATTACTTGCACAATATGAAACTTTGACTTCGACTTTGTTTATACTGTAAATCTGCCATCTAGCATCTAACATGCATACAGTTGACGCAGATACGATCGCAGTGACCATATAAGACGAGTTCTAAGCAGGTATAACGCACACAGCTTGCAGAACAAGAAACTTCAACTTTGAATATGTTTACACTGTAACTCTGCAGTCTAGCATCTGACATGCATACAGTTGAAGCACAAACGATGGCAAAGGCCGTTTAAGTCGACTCTGAAGGGTATTTAACGAGAACAATAGGCAAATGAAGATACATCGACTTCATCGTTGTGCACACTATATCTCTTCTTCCTATCATCTCACATAGACACTATTGGAGCAGACAAGCTCGCTTTGACCATATAAGACGACTTTGAAGCGGGTATATCGCACACAGCTTGCAGAATAGGAACCTTCGACTTCGACTATGTTTACACTATAACTCTGCAGTCTAGAATCTGACATGCATACGATTGAAGCAGATACGATGGCAGTGACCGTATGAGACGACTCTGAAGGGTATATTACGAGAACAATAGGCGAATGAAGATACATCGACTCCATCGTCGTGCACACTATATCTCTCTTTCCTATCATATCTCACATGGACACTATTGAAGCAGACAAGAAACATCGACTTCGACTATGTTTACATTTCAACTCTGCAGACTAGCATCTGACATGCATACAGTTGAAGCAGATATGATCGCAATGACCATATAAGACGACTTTGGAGGGTATATAGCAAGTACAATAGGCAGATGAAGATACATCGACTTTATCGATGAGCATATTCTATTACTCTATCCTATCATCTCAGATGGATACTATTGGAGCAGACGAGTTCGCAATGTTCATATGAGACGACATCTAAACGGATATAACGAACACAACTTGCAGAACAAGAAACTTCGACTTCGACTATGTTTACACTGTAACTCTGCAGTCTAGCATCTAACATGCATACAGTTGATGCAGGAACGATGACAGTGACCATATAAGATGACTTCAAAGGGTATATAACAAGAACAATAGGCAAATGAAGATACATCGACTCCATCGTCGTGCACACTATATCTCTCTTTCCTATCATCTTACATGGACACTATTGAAGCAGACAAGAAACATCGACTTAGACTATGTTTACATTGTAACTCTGCAGTCTAGCATCTGACATACATACAGTTGAAGCAAATATGATCGCAGTGACCATATAAGACGACTTCAAAGGGTATATAGCAAGAACAATAGGCAGATGAAGATACATCGACTCCATCGGTGTGCTCACTCTTTCTCTCTATCCCATCATCTCATATGGATACTATCGAAGCAGACGAGTTCGCAATGCCCATATGAGACGACTTTCAAGCAGGTATAACGCACACAATTTGCACAACAAGAAACTCCGAATTCGACTTTGTTTACACTGTAGATTAGATTAGATTTGGAATGGGGCCTTCGGGCTATCTGCCTACACACTGTGACCTTTTCAGATCTCTTGTGTCTGCCCTCAAAATCGATTACAGTTCTTCGGCTAGCCCCGCCTTCCCTATGAGACTCCATAGGCTAGCTTTCAGATCTCCTGTGTATCTCTGGGCTCCTGGTTTTTCCTCACCTAGCTTGAGGAAACTTATTCTTGACAAGCCCTCACAGTGGCAAAGTATGTGTACTGCTGTTCCTTCCTCTTTTTGACAGAACCTGCACAGCAGTTCTTCAGTCAGACCTATCGTACTCATGTGTTTGTTGAGCCTACAATGCCCTGTGAGAAGTCCCACTAGTATTCTAGTTAAACTCCGTTTCTGGCTTAGTAGATATTCTGTGAATGTTGGCGATAGTTTTTCAATGAACTCTTTTGCCTGTCTCATTCCTGGCGAGTTGTTTCACCATTCTTTCTTCTTTAAAAGTTTTTTCAAAGCTTTATTTTGGAATTATGCCATCCGTTGGCATCCCCATGATGTGGTCGCATTCCAACTCTCCATATAGCTTCCTATAGTCTTCACCGTGCGCGTTGCTTATGGGTGCTTGACCCTCTGACAATCTACTTACGACTGCTCTGGCTTCGCCTTGAATATATATTTGTAGTGGTGGTAGGTTCGAGAGGACCTCTAAAGCGGCTGTTGGAGTGGTTTTCATTGCACCAGTTGCACTCAGGCACGCTTGCCTTTGAATAGCACTGAGCCTTCGAATCATTCCAGCCTGTTGTGTCTTTGGTCACCAAACTACTGACCCATATGCTATCATAGGCCTGATGACGCTGGCATAGAGCCATGTGGTCATTTTTGGTTGCAGTCCCCAATTTTTTCCGCACATTCGTCTGCATAGATTAAAAACTACTGTAAATTCTTGAACAATTTTTTGTAGGTGTTAATTCCATGTTAACTTATGGTCAAAGATGAATTCTAAGTATTTTGCCTCTAGGGCGAACGGAATTTCTACCCCGTTGAGTACTGGTGAATTTAATCCTTCCAGTGCTCTCTTTTTCGTGAAATTCACTATAGTGGTTTCATGAGGGTGCACGGTGAGTTCCTCCTCTTCACACCAATTGTCAATTATATTTAGAGCGGTTTGTGTGAGCTCCGAGATCGTACTTGCGAATCTACCTCTAGCGATAACCGCCAGATCGTCGGCATATCCTAATACCCTTTGGATGTTAGCCTTTTGATTAGTTCATCCATCAGAATGGCCCATAGTAGGGGCGATAATACTCCTCCTTGTTGGCATCCCCTATCTGCTCTAGCTGTCAGGGTTGTCTCGCCAATTGTGGATATGATAGCCCTATTTTTCAAATTGACATTTATCCACTGGCACAGGAGTAGTGGTACTCCTTTCCTTGCTAGGGCGTTAATTATAGAATTTGTTGATGCGTTATTGAAAGCACCTTTTATGTCTACGAATGTTGTTATAGATATTTCTTTGTCCTCTATCGACTTTGCGAATAGCCTGTTCAAATCATCCAGTGCTAAGTCAGTTGACTTGCCTGGCTGATACGCATATTGGCGTTCGTTGTGCAGGTTTTTTCGTAATACCTTGTCTCCCATGTATCTGTCTATCAGTCTTTCCAGCGTTTTGAGCAGGAACAACATTTAACTTATTGGGCGGTATGAGTTAGGCGTTTTGTCACCCACCTTGCCAACTTTGGGTAGGTAGATGACTGTCACCTTCTGCCATACGATGGGTATATATCGTATTGCTATACAAGCCTTGAATATTCGATACAGATGTGGAATTAGTATTTCCTGCTCCTTTTGAAGCAGGATTGGGTATATTCCATCTACTCCAGGGGATTTATAAGGTTTAAATTTATTAATAGCCCACCTAATTCTGTTTTGCCTCGATATCTCTGTAGCTAGCCTCCATTCCATGACAGTTGGCCTATTCGGCCTGCCAATGGTGCTGTCTGCCACTATCGGCTCATTTAAAATTACTGAGGCCAGAAAGTGTGCCTCAGTGAGCACCTTCAGACTCTCCTCAGAAGTTGCCGTGTAGGTATTGTCATTCTTCTTCAGAAAACCTACTTGTTTCACAGTACCTTCTTTGGCTAGCACTTTGTGGATCCTTGAACATGTGGGGGTTTCTGTGACCTCCTCACAGAACTTTTTCCACGATTGCCTTTTCGATTTCCTAATCTCTTTGTTGTACTGCGTGAGTTTAACCTTATATGTGGTCCAATTCTGGTCTAGTTTTGCTTTGTTGAATAGCCTTCGCACCTCCCCTCCTAGGGATTCGAGATGCTCGTTCCACCAGATTGTTTTATTGTTTTGTTGTCTTGTTATTTCCGGGCAGTTACCTTCGTAGGCGTCAACTATTGCCCTGCTCACTTGGTCTACTGACCTTTCAAGACTGTGGCTGTCCCTTATGTCAGCCGTGGTCCTTGGTAATGATTCTCTGAGTGATGTTGCGTATCCTTCCCAGTTGGTCTCTCTGGGGTTTCTGTACTTCGTTAAGGTCCGAGGTGGGGTAATTATATCAAATCTCATTTGTCTATGGTCAGAGCACGAAGGTTCGTCTGACACATGCCAGTTGACGATATTATCACATGCTTTTTTTGACGAGAGAGTTATATCTAGAACTTCTTTCCTCGCTGCCGTGACAAATGTTGGTTCGCATCCTACATTAGCTATTGATAACCTTTTTGTTAGTATGAATTGCAAAAGTGACTCACCTCTTACGTTGACGTCTGTGCTTTCCCATACGGTATGGTGTGCATTTGCGTCACATCCTATGATGAGTTGGAGGTTTGCCCTTGCCGCATATGCGATTACTACGCCTAGTATCGGTAGTGGGCAAACCTCCTCGCCAGGGAAATACGCAAAGCTCACTATCCAGCTTCTGGTGCCTTCCTCTGTCAGCGTGATTAGGAGTCCTGTAACAATATCACCGGCGCAGAGCACCGTCATTAGTGTGCATTTCACTCTATCGCTATATACTATGCATGCGCGAGGTTTATTGTTACCTTCTACGTATAGTACTTTACCTTGGTTGGGTTTCAAGCCGGCTACCCTCCCTTCATGTAACCAGGGTTCTTGCAAGAGGGCCAGGTCGAGACCCTCTTTGTCAAATCTCCTACATACCATAGCGCTGGACGCTCTGGCTTGATGGAGATTCAACTGTAGAACCCTGATCCTACGGTTCAGTTCTGTGAACTGAACCCTTCTTCCGCCTTCATTGAGGCATCTCCCTCCTCCATGGGTGTTGCGCTCTCATGTGCTATTGGCCTCTTGAGAGGGCTACTCCCACTTTGAGAGGGCTCTGCCTCGTCCTCTTCTTGTGCCTCTTGGGCCGCCTCAATTGGCTCGGCGTCTTCTTCTTTTTCCTTGACATGTTTCCCCTTCTGTCTGAATTTAATTCTTCCTAGATTGTAGTAGGGAGACATGTCAAGTTTCACTAGTTCTCCCAGTGACTTTTTGTCCATGGAGAAGACCCGAGTTTGACCTTTGGCCGCAGGAGTTTTGCCCCAAACCGTCCAAAGGTGCGTGTTAAGCCCATGATTTGCGACTTTGAGCCTGTGCAGAATTTTTTCCGCCTCTGGCTTTTGCCCTCTTTCATCAGAAATGGAGGTAGTGCACGCGTAGGTTTCAGGTAAGTCATCCTCCTCCAACACTGTCAGTGTAGCTCCCTCCCAGAGTTTTATGGTTGTGATGACCTCCTTCAACCAGTCTGCACTAGTGCGATCCACGCACATCATAACCAAGTATCCTGGTTTATGAGTGCATTTTGCGAATCTCACTTGAGGTCCTCCTACGGGGATTTGATCCAGAGCCTCGGAGACTGAGTCCTGGACTTCTGTGAGCCTTTCAGTACTCATTTTCACCTCCGGGAAACCCGTGTGTACCACAGCAACCTTAACTGAGGAAAGGGCATCTTTGAAGGATACTCCTTCGTGCCTTGGTTTCTTACTCAGCTGGCTGGTCTGTGGCGGTGTCGCACTGATTGACCGTGGTCGCTTCGTCGCTTTCGTGCCTTTACCGGCCTTCCTCGACGTTGTTGCTACAGGTCCCAGCCTCAAGGGCTTTGCGGGTTCCTTGCTCTCTAGAAAGTTCTTCTGGATTACCAGCCTTTTGGCTGAAATGTAATCAAGGCCTTTTTCTAGGTGGGCTTTAAGCCTCAACCTCGAAGCTCCTCCGAGGTGTGCTATGTTCACCTCATCGTCTGATAGTAGCTCTAGTTCCTCAAGGAAAGATACTACTACCTTGTTTTTGGCTTCTGGTGCTTGCCCTTTTGTGGCCTTAGCACCAGGCGTGCCCGCCATCTCTCTTGGGTTGGGTGTGGTCACCACAGCCCTTCTGACAGGTTTTTTATTTTTGTTTTTTGAATCTATTCAGATCCCACGAGTAGCTAAGGAAGTTTTGTCAGCTACGACAGAGCCCCGCATGCCGTAGTAAGGTCTTTATACTCTTGGATTCGACCTTGTGTCCCAGAGGCTCCGTTCTTGATAGCACTCCCTGCTACCATCCAGTCCTCGGCACGGAATTCTCACACCTTGACTTGGGTGATTGCTTCGACTTACCTTGTCTAGATCCGCTGTGTTCAGTTTATGCAGGATCACCTTGGGCATGATGCGATTCTACATCGCGCACAGACGGTCTTGGGAATAGCTTCCTCGAGAGGTTTGCCCGACCTCCTCTGCTATTCCCCTGGAGTCGGTGGCCATGTAGCCGACCCCTTAACCCCATGTTTACACTGTAACTCTGCAGTCTAGAATCTGACATGCATACAGTTGACGCAGATACGATGGCAGTGAACGTATAAGACGACTTTGGAGGGTATATAACGAGAACAATAGGCAAATGAAGATACCTCGACTCCTTCGTCGTGCACACTATATCTCTCTTTCCTATCATCTCACATGGACACTATTGAAGCAGACAAGAAACATCGACTTCGACTATGTTTTCATTGTAACTCTGCAGTCTAGCATCTGACATGCATACAGTTGAAGCAGATATGATCGCAGTGACCATATAAGACGACTTTGGAGGGTATATAGGGAGTACAATAGGCAGATGAAGATACATCGACTTTATCGGTGTGCATATTCTATTTCTTCATCCTATCATCTCACATGGATACTATTGAAGTAGACGAGTTCGCAATGCCCATATGAGACGACATCTAAGCGGGTATTACGCACACAACTTGCAGAACAAGAAACTTCGACTTCGACTATGTTCACACTGTAACTCTGCAGTCTAGCATCTTACATGCATACAGTTGATGCAGAAACGATTGCAGTGACCGTATATGACGACTTTGAAGGGACTATAACGGGAACAATAGGCAAATTGAGATACATCGACTTCATCGTCATACACATTATTTATCTCAATAGATACACAAGGTCGATTCTAATATCAAGATACTAAAATCGACCTATGTATTATTTGATACTAGGTCGATTCTAGTATCAATGATCTATTGAACAGCCTTTTGTTCAATTTGATCGTGGGTCGATTCAAACATCAATGATCTTAAAACAGTCTTATGGTTTTTGGATACTAGAATCGCTCTATATGTTCTGGGATAGACAATGTCGATTCTAATATCAAGATACTAGAATTGACCTATGTACATTTGATCCTATAGGTCGATTCAGAGATCAATGATACTAGAATCAAACTATGTATTATTAGATCCTAGGTCGAATCAGAGATCAATGATACTAGAATCGACCTATGTATTATTTGATCCTAGGTCGATCCAGAGATCAATGATCTCAGAACAGCCTTATGTTTTCTTGATACTATAATCTCTTTATGTTTAATGGAGCATCGACATATGATTCTGGTTTCAATATGGAAATTCTTGCGATCTCAGAATTCAGGATCAGGTGGTGAAGCATCTCAGAAATTCATATGAGCCGAGGAGAATTCTCCTGCTTGTCACAGTATCAAGTATTCTGAGACCCGCTATATTGAACGCAGTACTCAGGGTAATATACATTTTGAATATAACCTAAGGGAGGGATCAGTGAATTGAACAGAGAGTATTATTTGATGATTGTATTAACTAAGAGTAGGACATTTCAAAGTAAGTCGTTTGGTTGTGGTAATTTTGTTTTGGTGGAATCGTCTCGGATTGAAAAAAACCTGTTGGTTCCATTTTTCTTCTTCTCTCGAGCTTATCTTGATGCTGTTGAAATTCTTCGTCATCTCAAAAATGTCGATGGTCATTTTGAGTTCCTTCAGGTTTCTGATATGTTGATTCAATGAGTCGTTGATGAACATCTGAGCGGTCAGCAAACAAATGAAAAGGTCATTGGGGTAGGAGACTACTTATCCAATAATTATGTATATTCCTGCAATTTCGAGAACTGCACATATTGTTGTCACTGGAATTATGGTGCATGCATAGAGGACTATCAGCCTTGAATTTGACAGACTCCATGACATTGTCAAAAATTTCGATATTGACTATTTTGGGTCTGTGAGATGACGTTAGCACCGAATTTAGAAATTCGAGTTTTTGGTGTCCTCTTACATAAACTGAGTCAACATCTTTGAGATGTTCTGATAGTATATTCGGTAATTCATCATAGTCTATCAACCCAGAAGAGTATGTTAGCCCACGGAAATTTCGATCTAGCCAACGAACTTGTTTTTTGTCTGCTTCCTGAAGTGCACAAAATGGAACGGTTGCTTTGAATAAATATTTGTTGATCTGATAGCCGTTCGAAATTGATAGTTCTTTGGGGTAAAACGTATTAGATAACGAGAACCCTTGGATATCTATACTTAATAACTTCATTGCGTGGATGATGATACACAACTGAAATTATCAACTACTTGAATGTTATCTTGTGAATGAAAGAGTATTGGGGGGATGAAGAATGCTGAAGTGTTGTCTGGAAATGCTTTGGCTGTTTCAAACCCTATTCTCATCACAACTGATCCACTTCGCAAAGATTTTTTCTGATGGGAACAGTCGATGTATGCCATAGGGATGTTCTCTACAAACTCCTTCGGTGAAAATATAGGTTCCTTACTAGATCCATAATACGATGGTCTGAAATTTGCGAACATGGAATATAATTGGGAAGTTTTATTAGCAGTGAAATTCAGATATGAGTCATTATATGGGTATCTGTCACTATTCAAGAAAACTCGAATATTTGTCAAGTCGCAATCATCGAATTTACTTGAATCTGATTTCATATTATTTTTTTTGTCTGTTTGGAAGACAACGATGATGTGACGTGGTGATTCCAACTGATTTGTCGTTTTGACAGGTCATGTCGTTTTTGTGGATGTAGGCAATTTGGGGTATTCTATGAGTTCCCAACTTCGGAATGCTAGAAATATTTCTTGATTTTTTTCTACCATTTTAGTGAACAGCAATTGTTGTGGAATATCTAATGAAACGTGAGAGTGCCAGAATATCTTGTCGATATGTACTTATGAAATTTCCTCCACATCGGAACTGTATGTTGCGTCGATGTCGTCATTGCTTCGAATCAACACCAATTCCTGTTTCATGTTCAAAATCACCTTTCGATAGTCCTCGAAGAAACCCATAATGAAGGAAAGTGGGATACATACGCTGAAATTTCCTCCAGCATCTACTAGAACTTTCTTATCCTTGTTGGCGAAATTCACTTTCGGAAACCAACCTGCGTTCTCCAAGTTGATACTTTCATTCGCATTGTATGATAACTACTCCTTTATTGTCGATACGAGGCCAATATTTCTAACTGAATCAATCCTAATACCATTCAATTTATACCTTACCACTCTGAATAGAAAATGTATCGCATTATTGGTGAATCTGAGTTCGTCGATAGCCGTTCCATTGGATTGCACCAAACGACCTTCAATGTATAGGTAACTTTCACATGAATAGAATAGAATAGAATAGAATAGAATTTTATTTATACCAGAGACAAATTTACAATTTGTGTAGTACAAGTCCTAACTACTTATCTAATATGTGAGAATAATATGTGCTTACAACTATAACAATATTACAAAGCAAAAATGGAATTTGCAATTATTTGATTGTCTATCCGATTGTGCGCCGGGGCAACTTACATTGAACGGGGTGGCGCATTTGCTTTTCAAAACTGTAGGAAAACCCGGCAAAACCTACAGCACCATCATGAAATGAATTGCATATTCCATTGTTACTTATATAAATATATATACCTATGGTCGAGCTACCGTTATAACTGAACTAAAACTAAGTCTGGGCAAAGATTCTTTGATTCAAGTCCTCTATTTTATATGGTTCAGAGCAGATCAAGTGTCTAATAACTGTTCGTCTGAAATTGGAGAGGTTTTTGATCTCCTTAACTTTGCTAGGAAGCATATTATAAAATTCTACACATTTATAAAAACTGCCTTTTTCAAGAAGAGTGGTCTTGTGTAGAGGGAAAGTGAGATTATCTTTATGCCTTGTATCATATAAATGGCTAGACAATGCACCATCGAAAAACTGCTTATTTTTGAAAACAAAGTTTACACATTCTGAAAAAAATATACCGGGTAAAGTTAACAAGTTTAAAGATTTGAATTTTCCTCTACAAGATTCACCTACTTTGAAATTTCCCAGAATTCTAATAATTCTTTTCTGAATTGTGAAGACTTCTTGACCGTGTGAACCACCCCAAAAAAGGATTCCGTATGACATAACCGAGTAAAATTGACCAAAGTAGACTGTTCTGAGAGTTTCAGGATCAACAACCTTCTTCAGTTCTTTGAGTGCATAACAAATTCTACTAAGTCTACCACACAGTTGTTTCACATGTTCCGACCAACCCATGTTTTCATCAATGGTAATACCAAGAAAGTTTGTTTTCCTAACATATGATATTTGTGTCTCATAAAGATTAATAGAGTGTGGAAACACTGAAGTATTTCTGCCATGTCGGAAAAGAATACAGTTCGTTTTGGATGTATTCAGAACAAGAGCATTGTTGTGAAACCAATTTGCAATAATTTCTGTGGCATTATTAGTTTTGTGACACAATAGGTTATAATCTTTTTCTACTATAAGCAAGTTAGTGTCATCGGCATATGAAGTTAAAGTAATAGTTGGATCTACCATAATGTTTGACATATCATTCACATATAGAATAAACAAGATCGGACCAAGTACGCTCCCCTGTGGTACACCCATAGAAATTGTTTTCGCATCTGAGTGGTATGACTTTGTATTATGCCTCACACAAACTGTTTGTACTCTGTTTGAAAGATAGGATGTAAACCAGTCATGTGCTACTCCCCGAATACCCATTTTATATAGCTTGCTCAGAAG